GCATCTTGTGTCTCCTCCACTGTCTCCCTGCATGCATCTTGTGTCGCCCCCACTGTCTCCCTGCATGCATCTTGTGTCTCCTCTTCTGTCTCCTTCCATGTGTCTTGTGCCTCCTTGCATGCGTCTTGTGTTTCCTTTACTGTCTGCTTGCATGCATCTTGTGTCTCCTCTAGTGTCTCCATGCATGCATCCTCTGTCCTAGTGTTATTCCCTCCCGCATTTGTTGTGTTGTTGTGAGGTGCGTTGGGATCGGATCCCATGAACTTTTGGGGAGTTGGGATCGGGGATCGTCTGTGGCGCGTGTTGGGATCGGACCCCCTGAGACGATCCCTTGGCATCTGGGATCGTGTGTGGAGTGCGTTGGGATCGAGTCCCTGGGATCGATCCCGTGGTTTCTGGGATCGTGTGTGGGGTGTGTTGGGATCGACTCCCTGGGATCGTGTGTGGGGTATGTTGGGATCGTCTCTGTGGGATCGATCCCATGTCTCATGGGATCGTGTGTGGGGTGTGTTGGGATCGTCTCCCTGGGATCGATCCCTTAAAATATTATTTAAGAATGCACCAACAATAGCATTAAATGCACCTAATCCTCCTTGTTCGCAATGCATAGGAAATGTACTACCTGGGTAAATAGTATAATAAAGAAAACTACTACCTATACCACTACCTAATATCTTTCTTTGTGTAGGGGTAAAACCAAGAAAAGGTATTTTTTTTCCTCCTCCTGGTATAGACATATCTATATGATTTAATAACTTTTCCCTACCGCATGTAGACGCAAAGTTTGTTATTATATAAGGTATAAATCCTTCATGCATTGCCTGTATACACACACAAATATATTTATTTATTTATTTATTTATTTATTTTTTATTTACTTAGTTGTTTATTTATTTGTTGGGTAACAAAGAAGGAAAGAAAGAGAAAGAAAGAAAAAAAAAAGAGACACCCTGAGAAAACAACACCAATCAATAAAAAAAGGAGACAAAAAGGAGACACCTATCTATAAATAAATAAATAAACAACTAGATAAATAAATAAATAAATAAATAAATAAATAAAAATAAATATACCTGTAATGCTGCTTTTTTATTGAATATTTTACCATCAAGTATTTTTCCCCAATTATGTGTCTTTGTTGTCTTCCATGACCAAATATATTTTATAATAAATAATAATCTATTTATTGTATCCTTTATATATTCATCATTATATATACTTCTTCTTCCTTTATGTACACAACATTCTCCTCGAACTAACTTTTCTTCTTCATTACCCTCTATATCCTTATCAGAAGGGGCCCCTAGTGGGCCCCCCCCCTGTCGAGGGACCCCTGTAGGGGTCGACTTTCGAGGGGCCCCCATAGGGGGCCCCTTCGAAGGGGCCCTTGAAGGAACCTTGGAAACGCCTCCTACAGATACCTTTGGAGGGGCCCCCATTGGGGGGCCCTTCATAGGGGCCCCCCATGGCGGGATCTTTTGGGGGACCCTTCCATTCTGGGGACCCTCTACGGGGGCCCCCAAGGGGCCCCTAGATGTACTCCTTCCTCTTTCGTGCTTGCTGAAGCAGCAAGCAGCAGAAGCAGCAGCAGCAGATATACCTTCCTTCTTGTCTTTCTTCAGCACCACAAGCCTACGTGGCCTAGGAGCAGCAGCAGCACCAGTATTTGCTGCCGGTGCTGCTGCTGCTGCAGGTGCTGCAGGTGCTGCTGTAGTAGCAGCCTGTTCTCGTTGTCTTTGTAAGGAGACAGTAGATTGCTGTTGTCTCTCCTGCTTCTGCACAGAAAATATGCTGCTCGGGTCTGCTGCTCGGGCAGTAGGCTGTTGCTGCTTTTGCTGCTGTTGCTGCTGTTGCTGCTGTTGCGCGGGCTGTACAAATGGCGCATGCAGCTGCTGTTGGTTTTCTGTGGCGCTGCTTTGGCTGGAATGGTTAGATACAGGCTGCATGACAGCAGCATCAGCTGCTGCTGCTTCTGCATCTCCTGTATCTGCTGCACCTGCTGCTGCATCTGCTGCTGCATCTGCTGCTGCATCTGCTGCCTCCTTTGGTGGCACTGAAGCAGCAGATGCTTCAGGAGGAAGGGACGGCTTAGAAGTTTTTATGGGTTGGCCGTCTCCTGCTGCTGCAGGAGCTGCTGCTGCTGCTGGTGCTGCTGCTGCTGCTGCAGCTGGTACAGTGACTGCAGCAGCGGTGGTTAGTGCTGCTGTCTCCTTTGCTGTGGGGTGTTCTCCTTGCTTCTCCTCTGGGCCGTGTTGTGCAGCAGCAGAATTTCCTGTTGTTGCTGCTGCTGCTTCTGTTGCTGCAGTTGCTGCTATTTCTGTTGCTGCAGTTGCATCGGTTTCTGCGTTTGTTGCAGCTTCTGCGGCTGTCGTTGCTGCAGCTTCTGCAGTTGCTGCAGTTGCTGCAGTTGCTGCTGCTGCTGTTTCTGTTGCTGCTGCTGCTGTAGTTGCTGAGCAGTTCCTTAGGGCCTCCGCCTCAGCCGAGATCTCAATTTTGCTGCTGCTGCTGTTGCTGGTGGAGTTGCCATTGCTGCTGCTGCTGTTGCTACAGCTGTCATTGCTCCTGCTGCTTTTGTTGCTGCCAGCACTGCCAGCAGCAGCAGCAGCAGCAGCAGACCCTCCATCGGGGAAAGAAGAGTCCCTGTTCCCTCCATTAAACGGGACACTTGTAGACACCTTCATCTGCTGCAGGTCTGCTGCTTCTGCAGCAGCAGGAGGTGCAGCAGCAGCAGCAGGAGGAGCAGCAGGATCAGAAAGAGTTGGAGCAGCAGAAGCAGGCAGAACCGGAGCAACGGGCGCGTCCCTTTGGGCAGCAGCACCAGAGTCCCCAGTTGCTGCTGCTGCTTTTCCCGCCTTCGCCGCAGCAGCAGAAACGGCAGCAGCAGCAGATGAGTTGCTTGCTGCCTCCTGCTGCTGCTGCTGCTGCTTCTGCTGTTGCTTCTTTGCTGTGTCTTGAAGGAGACGGGCCATTTCCCATATCTCTTTCTCCATCCTTTCTTGTTTTATTCTTTCTCTCCTTTTATATCGATCCTCCCTTGTCTCTTGCTGCTGCATGCATGCCGCTGCTGCTGCTGTCTTTTGTTGGTGCTGCTCCTGCTGCTGTTGCGGCTGCTGCTTGCATTCTTTGCGGGGTCTCTTGATGTATAAGTGTCCCCTTTCCGGTGACGCGTCAATAGATCTCCATCTTAGTCTCTTATAGAGAGCAGGGGGGGCCCCTATTGTTAATAAGGGTACTGATGGGGGCCCCCGTTTATGTGGGGCCCCTGTCTCCTCCTTAACAGAAGAGGAGGGACAGGATTGTCTCTTTCTTAAGAAATACCCACTGTAGTATAAGCCTTCATCCTGTGCAGCCTTCTGCTGCTGCTGTTGTTGCTGCTGCTGCAGCCGCAGCAGCAGTCTGCGCGCCTTTTCGCGACGTGCTCGCAGTAGATTTTGCATACTTTTTAGCTGCAGCTGTGTCTCCCTTAGCTGCTGCTGCAGCAGCACATCATGACTAGGTGTCTCGTGCTGCTGTCCCTTAGGGGGCCTCAAGAGGGGCCCCAACGACCCTCTTGGTACAGGAGAGTACTGGGGCCCCTGTATGCGGCACGACGGGTTATGCGTACATGCAAGGGGGGCCCGCAGGTGTCTCTTCATGCTCCCCTGTCTCCTTACTCGATAGGTGCCTCCTCCCCATCGCCGCACAGGCTGCAGCCGCTGTCTCTTTCGAGCAGCAGGAGCAGCAGGAACACCATTTGTTGCAACAGCAGCAGCAGTAGTTGCTGCTGCTGCTAATTCTGCAGCTCCAGATGTAGCAGATTGGGTTAGTCCACTAGGGAGCAGGTGGGGGGCCCCGTCCTCCTCTATCTGGATTCCCTCTTTCTCTGCTGCTGCTGTTGCTGCAGTAGCAGCAGCAGCAGTTGTGCCGTTGTGCTCCAGGGAATCCCCTAAATGTGGGGCCCCTCCGTTAATACAATTTTCCTTTGGCTCTGCTGCAGCAGCAGCAACTTGTCCTTCTGCTGCTGCATCAACAGCAAAAGATTGGGAGCCCGCCTTGTCTCCCTCGAGTTTGCTGCCGTTAGGGGCCCCCTTTGCTGCAGAAGGAGACACTTGTAGCGTCCGTCCATCAATATCCTGGGGGCCCCCATTATTTCTGCTGCTGCCTGGCTTGGGGCCCGCAGTCCCGTCAAGGAGGTCTAGGGGGCCCCCAGGGGCATCCCTATTCCTTTCTGTCCCCTGCATATCCTCTTGATGGAAACAAACGATTTTCTTACTGCTGTTACAGGCAACCTCCTTAGCTAGGCCTTCGTCTCCTCGTGCTGCTGTTGCTGCTGTTGCTGCTGTTGCTGTAGCTGTTGCTGCTGCTCCTGCTGCTGTCGCTGCTGCTGCTGATGTTGTTGCTGCTGCCTTTGCTGCAGGATCGTCCCTCCCAAGGGAAGGAGACAGTACGTCAGCATTTGCTGCTGCATGCAATCTGTCTCCTTGCTGCCGCAAGCTTCCCTGTGCAGCGGATTCATCTGTGGGCCCATCCCCTCTCTGCTGCTGCTGCTGCTGCTGCTGTTTCTTCTTCTGCTGCTGCCTCCCTCCTATAGCTTCTGCTGCTATCTTTCCTGCTGCTAGCTCTGTTACTGTATCAATAATCTCCTCAAGATGTCTTTGTTTAGGTAGTGGCATATGAAAACCCTCAACAAGAAACCCTAATAACAGAACAGTACCTTCGGGGCCCCTGGGGCCCCCATTCCTGGGGCACCCATTCCTGGGGCACCCATTCTTGGGACCCCCAGGGGCCCCCACCTCTATGCTGCTGTCTCCTTTAGTAGTCCCTTTCTCCTCTTTGCCGTTCCTTTGTGGGGAGTTAGATCCCTGGGATCGGGATCGGGGTGGGGATCGGGATCGTGATGGGGATCGGGATCGTGATGGGGATCGGGATCGTGATGGGGATCGGGATCGGGATCGTGTAGGGAGACGAACAAAGATAGGCCACATACGTTGAAACTCAGCAACAGCAACAGGCTCTTCTTGCTGCTGCGCTTCTTTTGCCCTCTTTACCCAATAAGAGGGTATTTTAGGGGCCCCCGTCGAGGTACTACGAGGTGTATCCTTATGGGGGGCCCCCGCTGAGGTACTACGAGGTGTATCCTTATAAGGGGGACCCGTAGAAGTACTATGAGGTGTATTCTTATAGGGAGGGCCCCTAGAGGTACTATCTGGTGTATCCTTATGGGGGCCCCCTGTAGAGGGCCCATTATGGGTACTACTAAAGGCCTCCTTAGAAGGGGCCCCAGAACGGAGGGTGTAGGGGCCCCCCATATTTATTGGCGACCATCCTGCGTCTGCTGCATCTGCTGCAGTTGCTCCTGCTCCTGCTGCTACTGCTGCACCAACCTCAGCTGTGCTTCTTCGTGTCGCCTGTGGGGCCCCTGCTGACGAGCAGTAAGGGTCGATACTACGTCTGGACCTTTGTATTTGCTGCTGCTTTTGCTTTTGCTGCTGCTGCTTCTGCTGTTGTTGTTGCTGCTGGCTCTGCTGCTGTTGTTGCTGCTGTTGCTGTTGGTGTTGCTGTTGGCGTGTCTGTACGAGATTATGAGTTGCGTCTGTGTGGTATCTCTTGGGGCCCCTACCCTGTGTATAGGGTACAGGGGGCCCCCCTGCTTCCTTTTTCTTATGTGTCTCATTAGGAGACAATAAGGCAAAATGCTGATCTACACAATCATACCATGGTGTATCTATGCTGCAGCAAATATAAGAGTCCCTTAGTCTCCTTGGATCAGCAGCACGAACTAGACGGACACATTGTGTTGCTGCAGCAGGAGCATCCGTGCTGCTGCCGCTGCTGCTGCTCTCATACTCCATACTGTCTCCTCTATAGGGGCCCCTACTCCTTCTGCAGGGGCCCCCAATACATAACCGACGCCTAACGGATCTACGTAGGGGCCTCTGACGTCTCCTTAGTCGAGGTAGTAGCAACTCGTGGGGCCCCACACCAGCAGCAGCAGCAGCAGCAGGAGCAGCAGGAGACGCAACTGGGTCCTTCTTGCATGCTGCTGCATCTGTTGCCTCTGTAGACACAGTACCCATAGTACCTCCTCCCCCCTTGTCTTCTTCGGGGCCCCCCAAGGTACCTCCATAACCCTTTTGTGGGCCCCCTTGGGGCCCCCCCTTCAATGCAGCAGCAGTAGCAGCAGCAGCAGCAGCAGGAGACACACCTGAGGAGACAGCTGTCTCCTCTTTAAATGCAGCAGCATTAGAGACACCTAAACCGTCTCCTTTAGCTGCTGCATGCTGCTGTTGCTGCTGCTGTTGGTGCTGCTGTTGCTGTTGCAATTGTTGCAGTTGCTGTTCTTCCTCCGTGATTGTTTGCTGCAGTTGCTGCAGCATTTGCTGCATGCATTGAATTTTATCCTCAATAATTTTTCTTTCTTCTTTTTCTTTCTCGCTGCAGCAGCAATGGTCATCCTGCAGCAGCAGCTGCTGCAGTGTCTGTGGCTTGCTGTTGCTGTTGCGGGGGCCCCACTGCAGCAAGGACCATTGGTCCTCGCATAGATCAGCAGCAGCAGCAGCAAACACTGCATGCCAATCAAAGGGTCTCCCCCAACCTAAATGAGAGAATGTCTTCTTATTCTTCTTGGGGGGCCCCCCTTCACGAGGCAGGGGGGCCCCCCTGTTTCTTGCTCCTCTCGTTGTTACTCCAGTTGGTGCTGTTGCTGTTGCTGCTGCTGTTGCGGCTGCAGGAGCAGCAGAAGCAGCAGCAGCAGCAGCAGCAGACTGCTGCTCGTGTTGTACCGTTGCGGAGCCTTCAGAAGACACTGCAGAGGATGTTTCCTGCGAGGAACAACAAACAGCAGCAGCAACAACAGCAGCAGCAGCAGCAGCAACAACAGCAACAGCAGCAGCAGCAGTAGCATGCATCGAGTATGTAGAAACATTTCTGATGTCATTAACGCCAGCATAAACAGGGAGGGCCTATCTACCCACAAGGGGCTGCATCCTGGCGAGCTGTTGCTGCTGCTGCTGCAGCAGCAGCAGCAGCACATGCTCGGCAGGTTCAACAGCAGCAACAGCAGCAGACAGCAGCAGGAGACAGTAGACTTACCGCTTCCCTCTGGCAAGAAGAAACAAGTGTCTCCTTTTCTTTTCCTGTCTCCTTGTGCTCACGTGTCTCCCCTAGGGGGCCCCCCCTGGCACTGTCCCCTTTTCTTGTGTCTGTACCCTGTGCTGCTGTCTCCTTAGTAAGGGGCCCCTGCTCAGACACCCCAGCTGCCCCCGTCTCCTTTTGGTGGCCCCCCTCCTGAGGGGCCCCCTCCTGGGGGGGCCCCAAAGAAGGAGGTTTCTCCTTTCTTCCAGTACCCCCTATGGGGGCCCTAACACGGGGGGGCCCCGCCTTTAGAGGTTTTGCTGCAGGGGACAAGGAGACACAAAATGGAGACAAAAAGAGACACATAAAAAGGAGACAAATAAATATATAAAAAGGAGACATATATATATATGTGTGTTTTTTGTTGTGTCTTCCTGTCTCCTTTATATATATATATATATATATATA